CTCTCTCTCTCTCTCTCTCTCTCTGTCTTCCTCCTCTCCACTGCTGGAACTATAGGCATGCCCTTTTGTCTCTTTCTTCCTTCCTTCCTTTCTTTCTTTTTTTCTTCCCTTCCCTTTTAATGGCTTTTTAAAAAAGATCTTATTTATTTATTAAGTAGACAGTATTCTTCCTGCACATCTGCCTGCAGGCTAGAAGAGGGCACCAGACCTCATTACAGATGGTTGTGAGCCACCATGTGGTTGCTGGGAATTGAACTCAGGACCTCTGAAGAGCTGCTGGTGCTCTTAACCTCTGAGCCATCTCTCCAGCACCCTCCCCCCCCCATTTTGAATTCTTGCTGAGACCATTTCAGGTTTAACTAGAATTTGATCTCCTTGATGGAGAACCACATGGAAAATTATCACTGTATTCCAGGAACCTGAAGTCAAAATGCCCTGCTAACTTAATTCCTGTTAAACTTTGACTGCTTGTGCAAACCTCTCTCTCTAGCTAACATCTTATCCCAGCTTCTGTTAAACTGCTTGCTTGTACAAACCTTTCAGCAGCTGCTGAGATACCAGGGTGTGTGTGTGTGTTTTCATTTAAATGATCCTTGCCTAAATGTTCAGGGCTACACTTTGGTCTCCAAATACCTGGGTGTGGTCCAAGCTGGCAGGAATAAAGACTTTCACTTGGCTCTAAACTGTCTGAGTGGTCATCTCCGGTGGACCCCCCCATACAAAACCTTACTCATTCAGATGCCGTAGCTAGAAATAGCCTTATGATTGTGTTTGACCAATGAGATATAATCAGAAGTCTGTGTTTGGGGCTTCTTAGAAAGCCTTTTTATGTTTTTGTTGTTGCTTTTAAAAAAGATTTTTGAGATAAATTCTATGTAGACCAGGCTGGCTTTGAACTCAAAGTTCTGCCTGCCTTTGCCTCCCAGGTGCTAGGATTAAAGGCTTGCTCCACCACTCCTAGTTAGGAACACCTCTAAGAAGCAGGCCTTCCTTCCCACCTGCTCTTGACCTGTGGGCTTGATGCCTGGAGCTGTGGTAGCATTGCAAGAGAATGCGGCTGACACTGTAGGATAAGAAGGAAAGCTGCTGTTAAAGGATGGTGTAACAGCCAGAAGCCAGAGTCCTCTGTTGTGTCCATAGCACCTTCACCAGCCTTGGGCTAGCTGCCATGCTTACACGGCCAGAGTACGGATGGAGCTTGGCCGTCGGGATTGAAACACTTAACAGACCACCACGAGAACTGGAGAGGATGCTGCAGTTTACTACAGAGAGTAATGGGCTTATATATCCAAGCCAGGGGATGGGCTAAGCATGGGAGAAAGGCATGCGCCACCCACATCTGCGGTCAAGGTATGGGCACAGCACACTGGAAAAATTATGAGAACAACCTTGTTTGATCAACCTTGTTTGATCAACCTTGAGAGCACTAGATGGGTGGGGAGGAAGAGAGCTGTAAGGGACAAGTACTTAAATTTCCCAACAGCTAGCTGCCTGAACTTATCTGTTTTACACCACTCATCTGAGCAAGAACATTCCATACCTTCTGCATAGATGATACACCTCCATGCTGATCTTGTGTGAATCTTCCCTCCTCCTCCTCCCCAGGTTTATTAACCCCCTCAAAGGGGGCAGAGGGCTGCTCTTATTTTACTAGAAGCCTCGGTACCTGAGATCTCTGTTATGAACTATCTTAAGTGTTCCTGTGTTAAATCTGCTTCACCAGACAGGATTGTGGGGACTTGGGAAGTCTGAACCCTGAAATTCTCTGCAGGCTGGCTTTGATTCATGTCTTTGCCTCCCTGGGGTCTTGGCAAGCCAGCCTCCTTAAACACTGAGCTGGGTACTTAGCGTTGGAGGCACCCTGCCCTGGGGCTGCTAATGTGTTGACTTGTTGCTAAGTTGGTGACCATTTAGCTTTGTCGCTTTCCTGTCCTTTGTGACTGTGTCTCTCCTGATTTGTATTTCAACAAGGAGATTTGTCCAGAGTTAAACGGTGACCATGCAGCTACATTTTCCTAAACTCAGGTCCTAGACACTTGGCATGAGTCTTCAAACACTAGATCCGGGCAGAGGGCAAGAGAGAGCTTGTGTCTATAACCCAGGGTGTGCCATGCTAATTTAAAGACTTGAATGAGTTTATCTTTCTCTTAGGAAAAAAAAAACAAAAGTATTTAGGTCCAGTGTTGCCAGGTAACGGGAGCAACAGGCTGGCCTTAAGACGTTTAGCTTTTAGCCAGTGTGTATCTCTGTCTGTGACAGGTGAATAGAAAGGCCTGCAAATCTTTGCTATCCTAATCTCCTTGCCTCAGGCTCATGGCAGAAACCTGGATCAAACGAGCGCTCTTGCAAATTGACCCAAGCATTTCCATCACTGAAAGTTTAATGAGAGATGCCAGTTTTACCATTTGCAAGTTATAAGTGCCCATCACACACAGGCTTAAGTGGGGATGGATGCATTGAACTGGGCGGAAAATGAGAAGTCACCGTAGACATAAATGGCATGCTAATATGTCCTGACAGTGTGGTCCCAAGCTACACTTTTCTGTTTCACTGAGCGTCACTCACAGGACCCAGCCAGCTGAAACTTATTTCCATCCCTCTTAAGGCAAAGCTCAGTGAGGGGAAGAGAGTGGGAAGAAGTCACTGAGGGCACAGTTGCATCCAGGCTCATTCTGTCTGCCACTTTATCGCGGCTCTCAGTGCCAGAGCTGGTGGGAACAGAGAGGTGTGTTGGGGCCAGCAATGGGGTGTTGCTGGGGAGTTGAACTTTTTCCCTTGTTGTGCATGCCTTGAAATTTTGCTCCTGGGCTCATATTGAGCCCTCTTTTGTTTACTTTGGAGGCTGGAGAACAGCCTTGCTACAGGAATTTATTTACTTTGATCTTTGTAAGTCAGTGTGCCTGTATCTACATTTTTGAGTCTGTGTGCCTCTGTGTGTGTGTGTGTGTGTGGTGTGTTATGTTGGGTTGTGTGTGTGTATGTTGGGGTATGTATGTGTGTGTTGGGTTGTGTGGGTGTGTGTATGCTGGGTTGTGTGTGTGTGTTTTGGGTTATGTGTGTGGTGTATGTGTTATGTTGGGTTGTGTGTGTTGCTAATTTGTATGTGTGTATATTGTGTTGTGTGTGTGTGTGTGGTATATGTATGTTGGGTTGTGTGTGTGTGTGTGTGTGTGTATTTTTAGTTCCTCCCATTTTCCTGTAAAGTATCAATGATGACTTCCTCCAGGCTCTTTCTGGGTTTTGGGGTATGGCTGCATACCAAGGAAGCTCTGGCTGCTTTAGGGTACCTCCTACCCCAAGTTCCCTAGTGTGTGTGTGTATGGGGGGGTCAGTGTGTCTCCTTTTAATCAGTTGTCTGAAGGCTCTGGTCCAGTGGACCTTGACAACAGCTTGGAGCTACAACCCTGGCATGTTTGTATATCTGGAAGGGCCCAAAGTTTTGTCTCCTATGAGGTCCCTGCAGTAACTGTAGCAAATTACCATGGCCTTGGTGGCTTAAAATAAAAGGGCTCTCTTCTTTTATAATTCTTGAGTTCAGAAGTCTAAAATGGGTTGCCAGTGCTGTTTTTTTTTTTTTTTTTTAGAAACTAGTTTCTGTGCATTGGTGTTTGACCTGCATGTATGTCTATCTGTGTGGGGGTGTCAGATTCCCTGGAACTAAGTTGTAGACAGCTGTGAGGTGCTGGGAATTGAACCTGCATCTCTTGGAAGAGTAGCCAATGCTCTTAACCACTGAGCCATCCATCTGGTGCCCTTTCCCCCACCCACATTCCTTGACTTGTGGCCTTGCATGGCTCTGCCCCTGGAGGATGGCTCCCCACACCTGTTGTGATATTGGGCCCACCTGGATAATAATACAGCCAGAATTGTAATTAAATTGGCAGGAATGAAGATATTCTAAACTAAGAGGCACATGTGCCCCTCAGAGCACTGAGACAATAGACCTCAAGAAATTGGAATTTCCCCCTGAAGATGGAGGTTTCTGTCCCACTTGGTTCAGCAGCTGATTAGCCCCAAATAAACACACAAAGACTTATATTAATGTATAAACTGTTTGGCTGATGGCTCAGGCTTCTTACTGGCTAGCTAGCCAGTAAGTTAATTATTAACCCATTTCTATTACCTGGTAATGCTCCAACCTGTTACTCCTCTGCCTCTACATGGCGCCTCTCGGTAGGCGCCTCTATGCCTTCCTCTCCCCAGCCTTCTCCTGGTCTGGTAGCCCCACCTATGTTTCTTGGATGGCTACTGTCCAATCAGTGTTTTATTCATCCACCAATAAGAGAAATACATATACAGAACATCCCCCATCATCCCTGGGAGAAGAAAACCGAAGCCTGGAGCTGGACATAGGGGAGCTTGTCTCTTGTAGTTTGGGCCATTTCCAGACCTTTCAGGGAAGACTGGATAAGATAATGAGGCACAGGGCCACACCCAGACTGTTTAGTTATGCATACCTCTGGCTTTCTATTTGAATCTGAGCTTTGTGTTAGGCCCCCTAAGATGGACCTCTTCATCTGTCCCTCTTTCTAATGTGGTCGCATTGAGTAAGTGAGTCTCCGTTTTCTGTTCTTCACTACTGTCTAACTGTCCTGTAGAGGACAGGTACTGAAACCCAGCTTGTGAAGGTTTCCAGGACCCAGGCTCTGATCTAAAGCCTTTGCAACAGTTTTCTTTTGGGAGCTAAAGTTAACATTCTCAATATTCTTCGGGCAAAGACATTTTTGTTGGGGGAGGGACTCACTTTACAATTTAAAGGGAAAACAAAACAAAACAAAACAGTATGAGCACCAGTAGATGAGGTGGGATCCAAGCCAGCTTGGTCACTAATGATTCTCTCATTCTGGAAGGGTTTTCTGGGCCCTCCTTGAAGATCGCCCCCCACCCCAACCCCAACCTGTTAACTCCTGAATTTCTCTCTTCAGGAAGAGGCATGGTAATCACACACTGAGAAGCAGGCTCAAGGCAGGGGCCTGGCCAAGTGTCTTCACATGTAGGTGTCAGTAGCTAGCTGGCAGCTGTGCCATCGAGCCAGGTTGCAATGGGAGGGGAGGAGTCTGGCGGTACACAGAGGACATTGTCCGTGATGGAAGAAGCAAAGGCACTTGGAAGTAGGACCACAGGGTTTTAATCAAACACAGCAGTATGGCCGCCAGGCAGAACAGGTAGTGCTTGGAGAAGAGAAAGAAGACCATCTCCTTGGTAACGTAGATGATGTGGATGAAGATGAAGCAGTACAGGAACATGGCAAACTGGTTCTGGGGGAGCAAGAGGTCCTGGAGGCCCCCTGAGAACTACGGGGAAAGAAGAAGGCATAGCTGGCAGTGCCAGATCTAGGTTCAGTTCTGCCCTGACCCTGAAGTTGATTGACCTCAAGGAGGCACTCAGTAGCAATACCCGTACTCTTCCCAAAATCATGAGGAAGAGAAAATAAACGGGGAAAACCCTAGTGAGGTCCCTGGCATATATAGGGATCTCATTCATTTTGTATCTTGAGCTTGCTTTATCTCTCCTGACCCTGGGCACCAGGCCAACACTGTCCTTTCCCTCTCTCTCCCATCTTGCCCAGAAGGGATCCAAGGTTTCCAGATCTCTAGTTCTTAGAAATCCTCTTTTTTTTTTTTTTTTTTTTTTGTTTAAGATTTATTTATTTACTATTATACAATGTTCTGACTGCATGTATCCTTGCAGGTCAGAAGAGGGCATCAGATCTCATTACAGATGGTTGTGAGCCACCATGTGGTTGCTGGGAATTGAACTCAGGTCCTCCGGAAGGGCAGTTAGTGCTCTTAACCTCTGAGCCAGCTCTCCAACCATCTTAGAAATATTCTTTGGATATTGTTCCCTGATAATCTAGTTTTCTGGACAGTGATTCTCTGAAGATGCATCCCTTGAGCTCAAGTGAGTGTCTCAGACTCTGTGTGTCTCGACACATGTCACATGGCTACTATGTGATCCTCCACCTCAGGGTTTGCTCTTTATGAGGGCAGGCGACAAGAGTTACAGTCTCCTGACTGTGCAGGGAACTGGGTTTTCCGATGGGTCTGACTGTGAGTCCTCTTTTCTAAAGTCAGTAACTAAGCTCAGACTTATTCCACCTGTCATCAGTTTTGGTCTGAGTTAAAGAATTTTCCATAGTTTCTGCTCCACAATATTTTTTAAGATTAACAGCTAAATGGCAAAGACTGAGATGCCCTAAATTAGTGAGGAATATTAGTTAAGATATATTCACTATAATTTAATGTATTCATCCTCCCTTATAAAACTATGGAAGGCTCCATAATCAAGTAAGTCCCAGTTTTGTTTTTGGTAAATGCACCATAAGCAAAACACTTTTGTAAACTATTCCCAAGGCCCCAGGACTTAGATACATCCTTGCTGAAAACAGTTACAGAAATGAGAAGGCAACTCTGTCAAGACATAAAACTAAAGGGATAGGGAATGATTCCAGCTCTACTGCCTCTAAGGCAAATAGCAAGGAAGGCAGGAGACCAGAGGAAGAAATTCAGTGTTCTCTAGGCAGGCAGTGTTCTGTAGGCTGGGGCTCTGTGTATGATTTCTGTCACACTCTACAGCCGCGTGTTTTAGCCTGAAATGAGGAAGGGAGGAAGCTGTGGTATATGCATGTATGTGTGTGCGTGTGTGTTCATATGTATACGTTTATATATAATATGCTTGTACAGTGAACTGCCTTGCTCATATTATATATCTATGTATATGAATACACATACATATGTATTTATGCATACATATAGCATACCCTTTAGACTTTTCAAAACATTATCCATAGTCTGTCTTTTAAGAAGCAGAGGACTTTGAGGCTGGAGAGATGGCTCAGCGGTTAAGAGCACTGATTGCTCTTCTAGAGGTCCTGAGTTCAATTTCCAGCAACCACACGGTAGCTCACAACCATCCATAATGAGATATGGCACCCTCTTGTAAATAAATAAGTAAATATTAAAAAAATTAAAAAGCAGAGGGCTTCATAGTGAGCATTTTCATGTCATCCCATCAGGCATGCCTGTGAGATATCTAGTATAGGTTAACTGAGGACTTCCCACCTAACTGTGGGCTCCATCTTGTAGTTTGCAGTCCTGGACTGAGGAAAACAGTCACTGAGCCTCAGTCCTGAAGAAGCAGTGAGACCAGCCTCCTGGAGCTGTGAGCCAAAGGAGCCTTCCCTTCCTTCCTTCCTTCCTCCCTCCCTCCCTCCCTCCCTCCCTTCTGTGTTTGTCAGGATATCTGTCACAGCAGCCAGACAAGAAACTAGTACTAATAGCATCCCTGATTCAAACAGTTTCTGGCTCAAATTTGCAACAATTTTCATCCTTGGACATTGAAGAAAAAAATCTAGGAACTTACAATAACTGGAAAGTACCGTGGATTGTGAGTGGATTCTAAAGAAAGGCAAATGTTTTCTAGATATCGGGAGAGGAAAATGTATTCCAGATGTCCCGTTCAATAAGCTTGGCTTGGCTCAGTAATATCATTTAATGTATAATTAAGCAGGTACCTTGTGAGCAAGAAAAAAAATAATTAGGAAGCCAGCATGTGTTCACTGAGAATAACAAACCCATTTTCTCTTTAAAGAATTGACCAGTCAGTTGGACAATGATTTGGGTAATGTAATGCCTTATTCCAGGAAGCCTTTTGACACTGGGCTCAGGACAGGTTTCCTGGGCAAGCTGCAGAAATGCCAGCTGGAGAAAATGTAACAGCTGGTGTTGATTGATGGGCCCCTGATAACCTGTGGTGGGATCTTGCAGTGGGATTTACTTTGGGTCATATCCTTCTCAACAATTATAGCCACAGCTTAGATGAGGACAAGCTTCTCAGAACCGAGGATGACTCAGAGCTGGGAAGCATAGCTCATCATACATCACACTCCCAATAAAACTGAGAAGTGATGAATGTAAGCTGTTTCATGCGGGTCAAGAAGTGAATTGTATGAGTTCATAAAAATGGTAATACCTAACCATTATTGAACGCTCACCTAATGTGCCAGCTCATCACAAAGTGGCATGCATGCTTCCTCCCACTTACTCTTTACCTTGACCCCAGGATGAGTTTGACTTCACTGATGAGCAAACTAAGGCTCAAGGGGGATTAGTAATGTGCTCAAGGTTAAGTGGTTTACAAAAGTGGTAGAACCAGAGATTTTGCCTAGACCCTGTGACTTCAGCGACCAGGAGGCACCACTTTTAAGTGATGACATCTTTCATCATGAAGTCCTTAGAATGGTCTGGACGAGGTGATGAGTAACTTATAAGGGATTTCATCTCAACTCGTCTTTTGAAACAGAGTCTCATATAGCCCAGGCTAGCCTCAAACTTACTATGTCAGCTTGAGCTAGTCATTCTGCCTCACTCCCTGAGTGCTGGGATCCTGACGGCCCACATATGGTTTACTTGGTACTGGAGATCGAACCCAGGGTTTCGGGCATACTAGTTACTCTAGATCACCATCCTTCAGATGAGCACACATTTCTTGTGAAAAAAACATTGCATTAGTTGGTTATAAGGCAGTGTGTTTGACAGAGAAAACTCAGCCCTGAAAGGGAGGCGATGGTTTTGTTGACACTCAGTGGCCAGACACAGGGACTGCCTCCTCTGCTGCTACATCTTAAGAGAAACAAAAGCGGTGGGAAACCAGTCGTTGTGTGAGTTTCGAACACTTAAGACTATGTAGAAGGGGTGCTGGCTAGAGGGTGTGATTCCAGAGCGTCGCCTGCTCTCAGCTGTCCTTGGAGACTTGAATCTCATTTAACACGGCAGCTCTGGTAGAGTCAACCACAGTGCTCTCAGACCACCCTGCAAACTGACTTGAGGCACCAGGGGCTAGAGGAAGCTATATGGATGCTCACTGCTTCTCGGCCAGACTTGGGCAGGCAAGGCACAGAACCAAGCAGGCCGGGTAAACCCTGTCTTTCCTGGGTCCATGGGGATGGCGGGTAGCCCTTAGCACTACCCCACTACCTGGCGTGGCAGAGCCTGGTGCTGCTGCTGCTGCAGCTGCTCCATCACCTCCTCGTGCTGCCGCTGCCGTTCGTTCTCCTGATGCAGATACTTCAGGCGTGTCAGCTCAAACTCCATGCGCACCTTCTCCAGCTCCATTGCATTGTGGTGTTCCGCCTCAAGGGGCAGAGGCAGCTCCATGGGTTCGGGTCCGGGTCCAGGTCCATCGCCAGCCTGACCTTTGGTGGTAGGGCCAGACTTTGGGGACAGTGACTTGTGCCCTGCACAATCTCTGTCCTCACAGGCTTCATTCTCTTCCAGGAGAGAGAGTTCTAGCTTTGGGGGTTCTGCATCCTAGGATGGGGAAGAAAGGGTAGGGTGATGGTGGAGTCAGTGGGGGGCTCCCCAAAACCACTCTCTCAGCTCCAGTATCCAGGTTGGGTGGTGGTGGTGGTGCAGACCTTTAATCCCAGCACTAGGGAGGCCGAGGCAGGCGAATATTTGTGAGTTCGAGGCCAGCCTGATCTACAGAGGGAGTTCCAGGACAGCCAGGGCTACACAGAGAAATCCTGTCTCACAAAACAAAACAAAAGCCTAAAAAAAAAGCAAAGAGTATTCAGTGTCTCTTGCTAGAAGTGCATCTAGAGACTCAAGAACATAGGGCAAACTGCCATAAGGGGTGGTGCCCTAAAGTTGAAAGCGAGGCACTGGCAGGTGAGGTGGGCATCTGGTCAGGTAGTGGTTCTTGTCACCAGGGAGGTCACTTTCCTATTCCCCATACTTTATTGAACTGTTAGGCAATAGGTCTTTCAGGGACTCCAGAGTGAGGAAGCAGCCTAGGTGTGTTGAGAGAACCAGCCAACTATGTGTATGTGTCTGTGTGTGTGATCTATCCACAGAGAGAAGAAAGGGCCTCACAGAGAGAGACAGTGACAGTTTCATGTAACACTACAATCCTGTGAAGCCTCACTCGTTCCTGGTGGCAGCTGGGTACCAGTTATGGGGATGAGAGGCACAGTCCTGCTCTTCTTAGTGGCGACTGAATCTCACAGCACACACCCTTAGACTCTGGGGCTTGGCATGCTCCCTCTCCCTGCCCCATGGGATGGCTTGGGCAATCAGGGGACACTCTCTTACCAAAGAAGCCTTTGACTTCCCTTCGGGTATGTTGTCACCAGGTGCCACCTTGGAGAGGGTGGGGCAGCTTTCTCCTGCCCCTCGGGCTTCCATCACCTCTCTGTCCTCTGTTGCCATCCAGATAACCACAGTGCTGCCAACCAGGACCAGAGGACATATTTTGAAACAATAACATTTGGCTTCAGCAGGTTCTGGCCACCATCATAATCCCCTATCCTCATAATAGCCACATTCTACCAGTTGCTAGGGCACTTTAGGTTAGAGGCTGTGGCGACACCTCTGAGGAGTCATTGGTAGGAACTGAAGGTTGTGGGCAGCAAGGTAGCTCAGTAGAGTTGCTGGCAAATCCCCATCACCTGAATTTGATCCCTGAGATCCACATGGTTAAAAGTAAAGAGAGAACTGACTTCCCACATGTGTGCCACGGCATATGTGTGCATCCCCCAATAAATGTATGTAATAAGAAATTAAAAAAAAAAAAAACTCACTGAAGACTGAGCCTTTCTCGCTCCTCAGGGTTGCTTTGAAAACTGGAGGGCAGCTGTTGGTTCGAGAAGCCTACTGGATGAAATCCAATCCCTGAGGTTTACCTTTTACATACAGATTATATAGTGGGATGAATCGATTTCCTCCTCTTCCAACCCAGTGCTGAATGGTTTCCAGGATCCCAGAATGGGATCTTCATAGAAATCACTTCCTTGAAATGATGTCATTGCAGTGGATCCTAATCCAGTGTGGCTAATGTCTTTAGAAGATAAGTATGCTGCTAAGTACAGAGGGAAGACGATGTAGGCTCGGAGCAAGAGGGAAGGAAGCCTTGTGTTGGGTTCCCTGGAGAAACAGAATCAGTAGGTGACATAGGAAAAGAAACATGAGAATTAGCTCATGGGATTATAGAGGTTGGAAAGTTCGTAGTCTCCCGTCTGCAAACTGAAAACCCGAATCGGCTGGTGCTGCTAGCTGTCACTGCCAGCCTCAGTGTGGAGACCTGAGAACAAAGAGGCGGGCCCGAGTGCGGGGGCAGAAGACCCAGCAACCCACTCATGCAATTGGCCACATTCACCCTTCCATTTTGTTTTATTGAAGACCTCAGTAGATTGGATGAGGCCCATTGGCACTGGGTGTGGGCAGCCTGCTTTTCTTACTCCGTTTCCTTAAAGGTTCATGTCATCTATAGGCACCCTCAAAGCTGAGCCAGTAAATAACACCTAACAAGGTAACTGGGCATCCCCGGGCTCGGTCAAGTTGACTGGTAAAATTAACAGTTATTATAGGCTTGGATCAGAGCCTTCTGTCCTGGAATTTTTGGGAAAGCCGAGCCTGACAATGCCTTGATCCCAATGTCTAGTTTTTGGTATAAATGTTAGATGACTGAGCCATCCAATCCATGGGTCGCAGAATCACTAGGAAATGAAGACGACTTAAACTGTACTTCCCAATGGGTGGAATGGATAGTGGAGGAGGGGGTGAAGATTCTGGAAGCCTGTCTTATAAAAAACTTTATTTAGCAAAACACTTCCAATAGTTGGAGGCAGGGTCACATGACAGAAGGAGACAGTGCTACATCTGAACTCTAGCTTTATTATTACCAGCTGGGTAACAGTTGATAATATGTATCTGCTTCTTCCTGATTTCAACTTCTCATGACAACTGCTAGTGCTCGTTCAACGTTCAACCGTACGGCCACTCTCTCTGCCTTCCTGTTTGTCCTAAGTTATTTGCAATTTGCTTCGCAAATTGTACCAAGGGTAAGAATCAGAGTAACCTGGCTTGACGTTGCGAATGCAGAGACTTTCCCTGTAGTCACTGGTCAGCCTCACAGAAGGTGCCCATACCAGTTCCGTCTGTGGCGTGGAAATGGAAGAATGCACGGAGAGTTGCAGCCTTAGGTTGCAGAGCAGCAGGAGCTACAGGTGGGCCAGGTGCTCTTTGAAGGGGCGGGGCATACAGTATGCTGAAGCTGGAGGACACATCCTGAAGCACACATCAGTTGTGGGCGTGGCGAAGAATGGCAGAATTCGATGTATGAGTACACCACTCTTGAGCTTGCAAGCATGCACGGTCGCACGCACGCACGCACGCACACACAGTTGGTTCTCAGGATGCTACCTTATGATGCAAGGCAGGTGCAGTTACCACAGCCTAATCTGCGGGGAAGGTGGGCTCGCAGAGCGGCCAGGTGATGCAGGTCTGGGCTGAAATGGGTTTTGATTTCTCGCCCCTGTATTTCAATAAGAGACCATAAAGGTGATCTTTGGGGGCTTCAGCTGTAAGATGCCAGACGTTTTCTGCATCATAGAAAGAAACAAAACAAATCTGGTGTATCATAGAGAATTTTTATAACCTTGTTTGTAATAGCAAGACTGGGAGCCACTTAAGCTTCGTCGGAAAAAGCTGATGAAATAACCAGTGTCGCATCCAAGTCAGAGCTGCTAAGCAGAGCCAGGTGTGATAGCGCAGGCAGGTAATCGGAGCAGTTTGGATGCTGAACAAGATGACTGAGAATTCAGGGCCAGCATGGGTTATGTAATGAGATGCCATCTCAAGGCAGATATTTTAAAGACGGTATGGGGAAAAAAAAAAAAAAAAAAAAAAGGACAGTAGCTGTGTTTACATCAGTATCTGGTCCTGGGAGAGAGATAATTCAGAAAGGTAAAACCAGCTACCCTATAGGCACTAATGTGTGCATTGGGAAATGTGATAATACGTTGAGTTCATCGCACATGTCTAGAACGTGTCTGAAAAAGATATCAAGTGAGCCACTTCACAATGGCTGTTCTGAGGTGAGAGAGAAGAGGGACCAGGCTTGGGGACGGTAGGGGAACTTATTTTCTTGTTAACTATGCCATTTGTATTCTGACTTTTAAAAATGTGCATATATTATATTTTAATTACAATTTCAAAGTGTGCCCAGAGGAGAGAGATCAGCTCAGCACAGGTGAAGAGGTTAGGATGTGCGGTACGAAGGACAGGCAGTCTTAGGAGTACTTTGTCCTATGGGACCTGCACGTCATTTAACCTCATCTAGTCTATTCTTCAGTCAGAGATGGCAACTTGCATTGAAGCAGCCCCTCCCTTCCTGGTCCCTCAGCTATGGACTCTGAGACACTGTACTCAGTGTGTGCTGGAGTGATTTAGCGGGTTTAGAGTTTTTAGTATGTATACAGTGTTCTGCCTGTGTGTATCCCTGCAGGCCAGGAGAGGGCACCAGACTTCATTATAGATGGTTGTGAGCCACCATGTGGGTGCTGGGGATTAAACTCAGGACCTCTAGAAGAGCAGTCAGTGCTCTTAACAACTGAGCCATCTCTCCAGACACAGTTTAGAGGGTTATAAATGGTAACCATAGCAATAGCTTATGGCTTTTGGGAGCTAACTATATGCTGGACCGTGGAGAGTTTTCAGGGTGTGTTGTACTAAGTTTCAGAACAGCCTAGAAGTTAGGACTATCACTATCTCTAGAGGTTAGAAACTGCTTTATGGAGAGAGCACTCTGGCCACAGTTATGCAGCTAGTAAAGAAACCAGGACTCAAGCACGAATGTCCCTGTATCAAAAAAAAAAAAAAAAAAAAAATCTCTTCAGACTCTTCGGAGTATTCCTGGGTTTTTAACCCAACCAACCATGCTGAGACAGGGATGTTCAGGAGAGGAAGTGACTAAAGATGCTCCGAGGACCCGTGGAGGAAGACACATTAAAGTGGTGGCAAGGGGATGCCTGCATCGTCCTGGAAGCCTGTGTGTGAGTGTTGTAACCATCATAGCCAGGAGACAGAACCCACAGTGGTTCCAACAGGGAAGGGAGGAGACACAAAGCACGATTAGTTATGGCAGGTTGAAAATGCCAGAATGAAGAAGGTAAGGTCTGGAGAGATGGTTTGGTGATTAAGAGCGCTTGCTGCTCTTATGGTTTGGTTCCTAACACCTACATGGAGGCTCACAACCACCCACAACTCCAATTCCAGAGGTACCACATCCTCTTCTGGCTCCCCTGGCACCAGGCACACACACAAAAAAGACACATGTCTAGGTAGACACTCAAGCATATACATTTAAAAAAAACCTACCTGTTTAAAAAAAAATTGAGGTTAGGGAGGTGACTGGGATATGGTGGTGGTAAAATACTTGCTGTACATGTATGAAGATCTGAGTTTGGGTCCTCAGCACCCATGTAAAGCTGGGTATGTTGGTGCCTGTCTGTAATTCCAGTACTGGAAAGGTGGTGAGAAGTGGAGCTCTGCATATCACTGGCCAGGCAGGCAGGCTAGCTGAATCCAGGAGTTCTAGGTTGAAGATTTCCCATCTCAAAAGTAAGGTGCAGTCTTTGAGAAAGACACAGGATCTCAACTTCTGATTTCAATACAAATTATACAGATCTACATGCATGCACACACCACACATAGACACATACACACACAGCACACATACAACATATACACAATACATAAAACACATACAAAACACAATACAACACACACAACACATACATACAACACACACACACAAAACACTCACACTACACCCCCCCCACGTACACATCATATCACACATACCACATACACAACACAACACAACACACACAGCATACATAAAGCACATACAGAACATACACACATAACACACACAACATACACAGCACTCACACAAAATACACACCACACACACCCCATATGTACACATCACACCACACACACATACCACATGTGCATATCACATACCACATGTACAACACATTCACACACACACACACACACACACACACACACACACCAGAAAAGAAAATATTGTGAGAGGTGCTCCTAGAGACTGAGATTCAAACTTTACAGGAGAGAGTGTGGTCGAGTCAGTGAGGTCAAGATCAAGGTGGTCAAGACCAGCAAGCTTGCAGCAATGCCAACCAAACTCTCTGGAAAGTTGCCCAGGAGATGGTGAACTTGCCAGAAGTCACCACAGAAAATCTCAGGGGTTGGGGCAGGGTGGGGGTGGGGAACTGGCCACAGGTGCTGCTGAGACCCTGGAGTCGAGGTTTTGGCACTGGGGTTGCACACTGCAGCATTTAAGTTGCCCTAGAATCATAAAGCAGAACCTCAGGTCCAGTGATGGCTCCGCTGCGCCCTCTGCAGACAAATCTTGGAATCACACCAGCAAGAGACAGACAATCCAGGGATTGTTACCTTCAGAAGCCACGTTAGTTCCTGCCT